TATACAGCTCGTTGAGAAATGAGGTTAAGTTGGTCGCTATAAGCTACTCCCTACGTCCAATGTGTCAGAGCCAACTTCGACCACGTTTTTATTTGAACCCTCGTTATAAATACGTGTGCCCAATTTTAAATTATTTCACTTACTAGTTTTTATAAAAAAAAATTAAAAATATATTTTTTTTATGTTTAACACCCTGTATCTATTGAACAAAGTTTGTGAATCACCTTGTATAACGGGTGATTTTTTAACTTGAAACTTGTAAATATCTCGAGTAATAAGCGCTCTACGAAAAAAATGTTCATAATCAAAATTTAATGATTCCGCGGGAGAAATATATTACTGCTAAAATTAGCGCTCCCGCTTCCTCTGGTAGATAGGGCGGGGAGTAACTTAGAAATCTTAAATAGCAACTTCTATTTTTTATTGCAGATTCAGATTCTATGGCTAAAAGCACGTAGGATTTGTCTGAAACAGTTATTTCGATTGACAATGAGAACCTACGCATACGATTCTGCAATACATTTACAACAAAAAGTACTACATTTTCACTGTAAATAATCCAAATTAGTCTTAAAACAAATTTTATTTCTAAAATTTTCAGTTATTAAAAAATTACTTGTCAAGGAAGTACCTACTATTATCGTAACCAAGGAACATGCGTCCTTTTTGGTATATCAACGCGATTTCCGCAGCTTATAATTTATTGGAGTGTTTGATTAAATCTGCTTTCAAACGAATTAATTTTTTTGTATTTTGTTTTAAATATAACACTTCTTTTGTTAAAAATAATGTCTATGAAAATGTTTTATGTTTACATTTAACGTTTGTGTCTGCAAAAACACAAAATAAACGTAGAAAGAAAGAAATAACATTAAGGAACAACTCATTTTAATCGAGCACCCTGAAGGAAACAGAAAACTACTATGTCCACGCCGTTGTTTCTGGGTTAGGTGCGCTAAAATTAATTTATTCACCAGCGATTTACATTTCTACAGGTAACAATTTCCCAGTTATTCGAAATTTGTAAAATGAATAAACTTTTTTGACGACGAATTTCGAGTATTTAGGTACATAAAACGTGGTATTTTATATTACAAACAGATTGCAGAATCGAAGAAAATTGAGTTTCGTCGAATACAGTGCCATCTGTCATGAATCGAAAAAAATGTCTCGGACAAAGCCTACATCTTTTAACCGCAGAAACCGAATCTGTGCTAAAAAATAAGGGTTTTTAATTAAGATTTCTAAGTTGCCCCCCAACCCACCTACAAAAAATCACATACAGTACATATTTTATTTTTACTGTTTGGCAGATGCAAGAGCTAATAAAAAATTTTCTCACATGAATTGAATCTTTACCTAAATAAGCTTGATTCAGGTAATTACTAAAAATATCAAGCTATTTAACTTGATAAATTCCTACTCCGTTACAAAATATATAGTCAAAATTTAAAAAATAATTCATAAAGAACTTCAGATTTGGCCCTCTATTCCATGATTCTATTTCAGTTCCAGTTAATGAGCAATATAAGCCAATTGTCTATTTCATCTCAGTAAAATTTTTGTGTTTCCAAGCCATTAGTTAGGATCATATTTTTACATTACTTTTCAATACCGTTTATCAGCACTAAGTTATATGTATATTAATAAACGAGAAACGTTTGTGGTACAACAAAGCCTACCAATGAAAAGTTAATAGAACAATTAAGCTATCGTCAATACTATCTATTGTTTGATTACTTCTAATAACTGTTCCTGGGGGAAAAACTTACAGAACGACGCAGTGGAGTAATAATAGCAGTCAGTATGCTACTTAAAATAACGAATATAATGAAAATCTGGATATAAAAATGAAATTTGAATGAACCCACTAATAAAATTCATGTTAGTTGTCTCATTATTCGAATACATGGTCAGGATTTTTGGAAATTTAAATCATAAGTAAAAAAATATGTTCACAGTAGGTAAACTGAAATATGTGAATGTAAGTTTTCCATTACCACTCTGGAATTGTGCAATTCTGACTAAAAGAGTATATTGGCGTTTAGTAGATTATGTTAAATTCCAAAACTAAGTAAAAGGTGTCACAAAAGTAACGCAGGACTTAAATTGTGAGCCATTTTTATTGCAAAAAGTTGGCAGCATTGTGCAGTGTTATATGTTGAAGTAAACATGCCGCGGTTAGACAAAATGTAACGCTAGACACGAATGAGTGAGTGAAGACTGTGAAAATTCATTTCAAGTACGAAGGGTGTGTAGCTGAGACTGTGCGCAAATTATGTTGAGTTTGCGGTAGAAGGAAAACCCCGAATGACACACTTTGAAAAGACCCGTAATCTTTCAAAACGTACAATGCAGCGGATTTTAACAAAATTATCTGCATCTGTATCCATTCGAGATTCAGCTAACCTAGAAATTGAAACGAGATGACCATTTAATACGCCGGACATTTGTTAATTGGATGTTGGGAATCAACAAGTGGGCAGTGATTTTGCTAAGAAAATCATCTTTCAATGAGGAAGATATCGATAGATGCTGTTGAACTTTTTGTAGTCTCATTTGGCTGGCATGGAATTGGACGACATGATGGCTCCAGGAGGATGGTGCCACCTGCCATAATCATGCGATCTTACGCTATGTGACTTTTCTTGTGAAGTTTCGTAAAGTTCAAAGTTTATTCTGCTCAAATATACCATTTCTGAATTAAAAGCAGAAATTCGGAGAGTTATCAACGAAATTCAGCCGCAGGTCATCTGTCCGATATTCTCTTCCATATTTAATGGCAATGTATACTCTTTAAAAACATGTAAAAACTTTGCCAACTTTTTAATTAAGAAAATCTCCTCCTCATATGAAATTCTGCGTTTATTTTGTTACATCCTCTTTATGTACATAAAAACACATTTGTTTTTTCGTTATTTATACTTACTTATTTGCATAATACTGCAAATATGTAAATAGTTCTTAAATATATCTATATAATTTAGGCCGGTCAAAATCGACACAAAAAATCGCTAAATTTGCAAAACATGATGTATCTCTGATTTTTTAGTATGTTGTTTGGACCCATTAGGGCTATGTATACCCAAGTTTGCAACTCTCAAAAAGTTGTGGAAAAATTTTTAAACACCAAAAACCGCGAAAATTTTGGACTTGTTTCAGATTCTGCTCTATGTATGTCTTATAATCCATGCATTTTTCGTCGAAAGCTACTCTATACGTTTTTAAGAGCATCAAATTTGTGACAAATTAAGCCCCGGAGCTCTGTAGGTCAATTGGTTATCGAATTACGGCACTTTGAAAATAGGCCAGTTTTTCCAAAAATTGAAAATTTTAGTTTTAGACCTTCTTTGGACCGAAATTGCGTCGAAACCATTGATCCTACGAGTAGAACTTGTAGAATATAATTTGTAGGCAATTTCATTACCTTTAAATTAAGCGTAGAGCGGGGTCTGTAAGCCTCATAGTTTTCTCAAAATCGCAAAAAACCTATATAAGGTAAAATCACATTTTTCCAGAAATAACCTTTCCTTTTTGGTTTGATAATGAAAAAGAAGGCATGAAATCATTAAAAAAAAAAACGGTGAAATGTATTTTAATATAAACATTAATCAAAAGTCCAGTAATTTAATCAATCAATCAGTCAATCAAATTAGACACGTAGTCAAATTCTCGCATTGTTTTTGATGGCCCTGGGCCGTCACTTTCGTTGCTCTCTTCAATAGGTATGTCGTCCACTATTGGTGGGTCGCCGTCTTCGTCCCCTGTAGATAGGTACTCCAGTATTGGTGGATCGTCAGGGTTGTCTTGAGGCTCATCATCGTCGTCCTCTTCAATGATGATAAGGGCAGCGTTCTGGCACGTTTCCCCAAAGCAGGTACCACACATCACAGAACATCTGAGCCCTGCTTTGAGGCAAGTGCAGCCACCTCTGCACCCCTTCTTGCATTCGCAAGAGAGGAGTTTTAGGAGCTCTGCGGGGGAGGAGCTTACCGACTAGTAATGGGGATGAGTCCAGCTGAGGTCAATTCCCAACCCCAGTCGGTGGCCTCTTGCTCCACCCCCAACCACTTTTGCACCTGGTGGTATGTGCGGTAGTGGTGATACGACGCAGCCTCTGTGGTTGGAGGCAAACGGACCAGATTCGTTTTGGCGTTGGCTGCTGTCTTCACAAAAGTACGGAAGCCACTTCAGACAAAATCAAGCCCTAGTGGACCAAGCAAGAGTTTTCCTCCAGATAGATGCCACACACCAACAAGTCGCAGCAGCCGGTGACAAGTGCCTAGTTGCCCTATATGGAGGAGACGAAACGAAAGACACCCTCAACGATGTACGCGATTTGATGCTCTTAAAAAACGTATAGAATAGCTTTCGACGAAAAATGCATGGATTAGGAGATATAGAGCAGAATCTGAAACAAGTCCAAAAATTTCGCGGTTTTTGGTATGTAAAAATTTTTCCACAACATTTTGAGAGTTGCAAACTTGGGTATACATAGCCTTAATGGGTCCAAATAACATACTAAAAAATCAGAGATACATAATGTTTTGCGAATTTATTGTCGATTTTGACCGGCCTAATTAATGCACAGTGTTTTTTGTATTTTTTAATTTTGGACGTAAATATTTTTTGTATAACTCTAACTTACATATTTGTAATAACTTTTTCTATCTGTCTGTAGCCATAATAAGATTCAGTTATTGAACATTCACACAGTACCTATAGAGTTTCCTTGTGAAACTCCGTTTATAGTAACAGTAACATAAACGGAGAAGGTGTTTCAGAAATAAAGAGATAGTCAGAGAAGGAACATTACAATATAATGCAGGTGTTATACCTATTATCTATTAGATTTAATATAATTGTTATAGAATCTACTACATTAATTGATATTTGTTATTTGTATGACAAGCTTTAGAGCACTCTTAGAAATAAAATAACTAATTTACGATTAAAAATAAGTATACCTTTAACCAAAGCATAAGGCTCGTTAAACTTACCTCGAAAGAGGATCTACGACGAGTGCAATCATAATTACAGCTGTTACTATGCATGCCAAATAAATTCCGGAAATTTCATAGATTTCGCTATCAGCGGGCCTATCCAGATTGTCATTGCTATTAATTAAAGATTGGCAAAAATTCGCACCACACCCCTCATAGTTCGACGAATTGCCTGAAGAACTACTGCTTCCATGTGCGCTGGTACTTAAAACTAGAAAAAAGAGAGGATTACATTAAAAAAATATTCTATCCTAATATATGTTAAATAGAAAATGTATGCCTATTTGTTCATTATAAATTTAACCAATTATTTTGTAATACATATTTTTTATTTAGAGTTGTTTCAACAACTTGAAACAACTCTGACGAATAAAAATTAATAAATAGGTCACAACATAAAACATGAGTTCTACATGAAAATAATAATGTATTAGGTAATATAATAATCAATATTTTAAGTACATACGCATTAAAATAGACTGACAAAAGCAGTAAATTTTTCGAGAACAAAATAAAGGGTTATTAATTACAATCAGGTACTGTTAAAAACACAAATATTTGTGACAAAGTTGTGATGGCTATTTGTATAGGAAATAGAAAATCAAGGGCAATTACTCGTACTTCGTAAGAAAACAAAATGAATAAAGTTACAGAATAGGTATAAAAAGATAAAAAAGCACGATATTAATAAAAATAAAATATTTCTTATTATGATTAATATATCACTGATTTGGTATAATTTTAATTTTAATTTTCTGTTTTGTTTGTCACTTCGGTGCATAAATAAGACAGCGTGATAACAGAGCATAATGTGTTCGTGAAACGATTTTCTTGAGATGTAGGGTAAAAGGTATAACGAAAGTCAAATGGATTTTATGTTCACTGTGTGTAATATTACGACGTACGTGACCGATAATGACTAATTGCTTCACTGGGAAAAAATGTGATTCTGGTAAGTTTATTTTACTATATAGGGTGTTAGAAGTTTGACTGCCTTAATTTTAACAGACGATAGAATACATTAAAATAAACAAGAAAACCTTATATGACATGGGTCCTAAACTCATCCATTTCCGAGAAAAAAATGATAAAAATCTCCAACTTGATGTTCGACTAATTAAGGAATATTGACATAACTGCGTGCATAGAATACCATAAAATATAATGTTTATCACATTTTTGAACTTCTTTATGCTTACTTCTAAAAAATAATTATACTTTGTAAAAAACTTAAAATTCGATAAAATTCATATCGAGCAATGTGACAACGGCGCGACGGATAACACGAGGTACCTACTAAGCTCTCCAACATTACGCAGTTCAGTTGGTATCTGGAATTGGACCGTGTCTGACTGTTTTTTGCATACTACTATTTCCTTTTCTTGAGGTGTTTTCCAGAGAGTGCGTGAAAATTGGATTCGAAGATGTCGTGCGTACATAAAAACGGTGGTGGACATTTTGAGCATATGTTATAGTTTGCTTTGTACTTGTACGTTTAAAAATTACTGAATTATTCTTTTTGGTAAGTACCTAAATTATTTTTAATACGTATGATTATTTGGATGACGTGAATCCTTGGGTGTTTTAATTACATATTTTTCAAATACGTAATTTGATTAAAAGTTAAGTTCCTGTTTTAAGAGATTCATAATTATGTATTTACTTAAAAACTGGAAAATAATTGTCTTGAAATTTACTACATTTTTCACAATAATAACTGTTTACATTTTTTCCGTAGGATAAGTCTGCCGCATGTACAAGTGGTGTGCATCAGCGGTTAAGCGCTGTTGTCACGTTGTGATGAAACTCCCCAATATTAATACTCGCTATATTTTGAAAACTGTTAATCTTACGCCCCTCTAATATAAAACTTTTTGTTCATTTATGATTACTATATCTACTGCTGAAGTAATAACAATCTTCTTACTTCATACACCCTGTATGATAGTGTATTTTTAAATATCAGTGACTGCACTGATACTGAATGGAACTATTTATCTGCACAACCAATCTCAATGTTTTTAATATTTTATGAATATTTTTGTCGAATGAAGGCTTAAATGATGTTATCCGTCGAATTGAGAATCATTGTAGGATTTAAATTTAATCAGTCAAAAAGCAACGAACAACTGATGTTCGAGGTAGTAAATGTTAATTTGAAAATAAAGGGAAGTTTTCTTTGAAATGTAGTATTTAATTAAATAATAACAAAACATCAGAAGTGGGATAGACCGTGCCTTCGTGTTGCAAAAAAGAGGAGTGAATATATAAAGAGAAATTAAAAAAGAAACAATTATGTGAATATAAAATTAGCGTATCTGTTCCAGCGTAACTAAAAAAATGAGTATTGAAAATATTTCTGATCCGAAGCTACTGCAGCCGACATTGATGCTGTTCAAATTGTCTGTTCCGTATAAATTGCTGTGGTCTGTGTTGCTGAATATGTAAGCAACTTTGCGGGGTCTTATTTCCCATACGATTTTTCTCAAATCGTGTCCTAATGTGTCCATGAACACATTCATGGTAAGCATAATAAACTCTGTGACAGTACCAGCATCAACAAAGGTAAGAGAATATTTAACTTCTAACTTCAGATGTTTCGACCGTTTTCGGATAAAGTATATAACTGTATGGCAATATTAAAAACAGAAGAAGCTCTATGCGGCGAAGGTTGACGTTTTCATAATGGGTGGGCCCCTTTGTCACGCTGCTTTTGAAGAGCATCTGCTATCTGTCTTTTTTGATTATGAATCATTTGAATATTGGGAGATAACATTCAACACGTTTCAGTTTCAAACATTTATGACTATTCTCGAATTAAAATTCGAGATTTGTATTGATTTCGGATTTTCCGTGGGAAAAAGTGTATCCGTTGTTGAGGGTATTAACTGCGATTCTATTTATATGATAATGATGGATTTCAAAATCTTAAAAATCGCGGGGCCATGAAGTATTATGATGAGAACTTATAGTAATGACCTTGTAACAACAATCGAAGGCTACTAAATCGTTATTGTATTGAAAGTAGATTTCCAGGAAACTGTTACATTTGTGAAAAAATTCGGTCTAAAAAGTTCTGTAACTGTAGAAACGCAACCAATGGGTTTTCCTAAAAAGTCCATTACCGAATGTAATTCTGTAAAAAAGTAGGCCATGATGAAAATTATTGTTGAGAAAAGAAAGGAAACGTAAGATATTGAGTGCAAGTGATGATGTCCACATCTATATTCCAGGCAAGGAACCACCAAATCTACGTAATCAACTAGATACACTAGGAAAAGTATTCAGAGAGATTGAAAAACATTGAAAAATTTAAAGATTTCTATCCGAAAATAACATTTCAACTATTAAAGAAAATAAATGGACATCAGTAATTTCTCAAATTGAGACCGTTTCCAATGAATCCAAGTAAAAGAACTAGTTTCACCCCAATTTGTTGATCTTGGTGAAAAGTGTCGATTGTCAGGAGAAAAAGAACTTTTGAAGGGTATCCCTCAATAAAAACTCGAAAGTATATCAGAAACAAGAAAAGTAATGTCCGCTTGGTACTAAATTGTATAGTTTGCCCATAAAATGATAGTAGCAAATACCCAAGTGTCTGGCAGAAAACTGAAATCCAAATGGTTTGTGTAAGTATTGCATTTGCTTGATAATAAAACATAATTGATAATAAGCAAAAGAAGACTTATTACAAAAACTGCAGGACAAAGTTGTCAAAATCCGAAGTTTAATTTTGTTGGCTTTAATGGTTGTTACTTTACTTTTTGACTCTTAAACAGTGTCAATTGAACCTGAACCTTCCATGTTTACTAAATACTTTTTGAATCTTTAATGGTTGTTACTTTATTTTCTGAACTTTAAATGGAGTAATTCTAAATATTAAGATTGCAAATGGTACCAGTTGGACCGACCTTTACTAAGTACTAATAGCGTACCATAACTATGGTAGTAACTGTTACTGAACCTTTAATGGTTGTTATTTTACTTTTCGAACATAAATAATGGTGGCACTTTACTAATTAATAGTAGTATCTATAGTAAATTCCTGAATCTTTACTTTATTTGTAGTCGAGGAAATAAAGCACTGAACCTATGAAATTTTTCGATCAAGTCGGATCAAGATGGGTTTTTTTGTATTTGGTTTATAAAATTATGTGAAAAAAATGTAGCAACTTTGTATTATGTTTTTCGGCCAAATTGCATTTGTACAGTGCAAAATGCACCCGGAAAAATGCATATTTTAAAGTCACTTAGAAAAAATTCATAACTCGGTTAATAATCCCTGGAATGAACTCAAATCAGGGTCCTGGTGGTTTTCGAGGTCGCTGATCCCGAATATGACCTTCAAATTGGTCTATCGCCGACCTGGAGCTTAGGAATGATGAAGAACGTCATCTCCGAGGCCTCTCCTGAATTTCACTCTTAAATGCAACGAGACTTGACGAATCGCTGATTCCTAATCTGGCGTCGGCGAGCACCCCCCGGACACCTGGTGCACCGGAACCTGGAAATGGACGTCATCTCTGGGAGTTTTCCTTTAAAATTCGCATAAACGAGTCGAAAATCGCATCAGGGTTTTTTTCGGAGTGCTCTTCTCGAATCTGGCGTCGGCGACCACCCCCGGACACCTGGTGCACCGAAATGAGATCAACAATTCCAAACAAGTTATTGCAGTATTAACGGCAGTCTCAAATATATTGAAAATTCACTGTTTATTGATTTTTCTGGCGATGACGCCGATTTCAAGGTACCGTTCCGGTGCACCAGGTGTCCGGGGGGTGCTCGCCGACATCAGATTAGGAATCAGCGACCCGAAAACCCCCCCGTGTGTCAAGTCTCGTTGCATTTAAGAGTGAAATTCAGGAGAAGCCTCAGATATCACGTTCATCATCAATCCTAAGCTCCAGGTCGGCGATGGACCAATTTGAAGGTCATATTCGGGATCAGCGACCTCGAAAACCCCCGGGACCCTGATTTGAGTCCATTCCAGGCATTATTAACCGAGTTATGAATTTTTTCTAAGTGACTTTAAAATATGCATTTTTCCGGGTGCATTTTGCACTGTACAAATGCAATTTGGCCGAAAAACATAATGAAAAGTTGCTACATTTTTTCCACATAATTTTAGAAACCGAAAGCAAAAAACCCCCATCTTGATAAGACTTGATCGAAATTCGGCTCTTTTTGTGCTTTTTTTCCTCGACTATTGGA